TAAAAATTGAAAATCTATAAGTCGCGCAAATGTTGCAAAACTGTACGGTTTCTTTCATTGCGTTTTATCGATAAAGAAACTCAAGGAGGTGAATACTATTGAATTAATGGAATTAAATCTGGAATGAAATTAGACAAAGTTCAGCAAAGAATATGAAAAGAAAATAATAATTATAATAATAATATTGGTGAAAATAAGCAAAAGGAAACTTTGGAAATGTATAAAATTCTGATAAATTGAATATGAGAGGGCATAACACTTTAATAAAATGAAAATCTTTCCAATCATTTTGGAAACGGAAGACATTTCTAGATATAATTTTTCTGATCAAAGAAATTGCAGCTACCGCTCGCCTTTGTTTTACATGCATCATTAAATAAATTTCGATTTATGATAAACGTGAATATTAAATCGTTTCAAATTACTTTTGCAGATCGTTAAAAAAGCTATCATAATTGTATTTATTGTAACACAATGATTTGGCGTATATATTGTAGATTAAATAGGTCATGTACGTGCGTTTTATTGTACGCGAAATGAAAGTTTTTCAGATACTAACAATTTCAAAGAAATATTTCCACATGAAAGCACGTATATAAAGAACAATAATGCTTATTATTCGACTTCGAAAGAAACGCGTAAAGCGCTTATATGTGAAGATTATATATGTTTATCAGAACTTTCTGTTTATTTCATTCAATTTTTTCAAATTTGTTTTATTCTTTCTCGTCAGCGTTTCTTTTAATGTCGTACATATTCTTGTAGAATTGCTGCGTCTCAAATTGGGCGTATATTTGTTATTACCTGTTTCGCAGCGTGTTTCAATTTATACACTTCGCTTATTTTCTCGCATTTCGTTATCCTATTTGCTCGCAACGCAAGATATCTTTCGGAAAATATATTATCTTTTATTTTATATAAAAAAAAATACTCAAAGAAAGCGGCGATATATTTTGGTTTATTTTGCACGAATTGTTAGAAGTCACACTTTCGGTAGACTTTTTCTATGTTCATTTTTGAATCCCCTTCAGTGTGCAAAGAATAACTTGTGTGGAGATATATCCGATTTTTTTAGAACCCTTCTTGTTCATTTTTTTTATTTTAGCTCACATACATTTGACGCCATGATGTTTCTAAGAAAGAATAGCATAAGATTTAAACACAAAAACGTATTATATGACATTTTACTGAATATTTAATAGAGCACGAATATGAAAATAATATGTAATATGTGTTACAAGATATTCAATAAAAGATCGTAAGTACTATTCAGTAACTGGCGTTACAAATTTCCCATATTTCGTAACGCATATTACTGATTAGGACTTAATATAATTCATTGAATATCTTTTAACATATATTACGTATATTCTTATTTATATGACACGTATTTCGGCATAGTCATCAATGGACAAATCTAAGCCAATTACTCACACCGTACGAAGCTAATGTAATCGATCATCAGCTGATCTTTACATCTGATTGGCTTATTTCTCAGCCGTATAAGCTTGCTTGTGCTCTATATAAATACTATAGTTTCTTGCCGCTGGAGTTTCTGGTGGAATCGATTTACTGCTGTTCGAGAGGCTTGCGATTTAAACACATTTCAGGGTGTGGGAAAAGAGCAGTCTTTGGGGAAACTTAAAAAGCATAAATGTTTTTACCGAATAGATCGTATCAGCGAATACTTCAGAAATTATACGCGTATATTTTTAATTATTTTATAAACCAACATTTCCATAGCACCAATCAAAATATGTACTATTTACACTATTTATTTCCGAGAGTTGTCCTCATCTTAATTGTAACCTTCACGACGTTTCAATTGTTGTACGGTCCGACCTTTTTCAGGGGATATTCTTTGGAATTTCAAACAGAACCATTTATTTAGTCTACGGAGGTAGATTGGTCTAATGCCACGTACCATGCCTTTGGATATTTCAGTTTTAGTTAATTCGCTTTGATTGCTCTCCTTCTTGATAATGTAATAAAAAATCTTAGGTTCAAATAACTTTTTGGATCAATCAGCCAACGCCTTTATCAGCATGGTTCGAAATTAAAAAAAAATCACCTGAAGAAGGCCGGAGCATAAAACGGCCAAAACGATGGGAATTTGGCAGTAAAGATGAGGTCAACAGTCCGAACAATGGAAATATTGTAAATAGCTACAGTACTTAATCTCAGAGATATTCACAGCTCTGGCTTGTGTCTGTAAAAATTAACATATTTGGAGATAGGAATCAGCATACAAAAAGCTTGATTCATCCTCATTCTCTTCATATTCCATTAGTAAGGTGGAAGTTTCACTCGGGTAGTTTGCTCCCAAGAATAATGCCTTTTCCTAAGTATTCAGTAGGAAGAAATTAGAAGGAGCCACAGCTAGAACTTGAACCCGGCCTATTCCACCAAGCCACTTCCAGCAATGAATTACAGTACATTTTAGCGTAAAGATTTTTAATTGTTATTTTATATGTTTTTCTGTTTTCCAATACTTTTCAAAAGCATAATTGATCTGAGACAGATAATTTTATTTAAGCAGAAATATATTGTTTAATCAGGTTGTAATAAATAGGACGGATAAGAAATATCTGGTGATTCTTTCGTTGAGCCTCTCTTGTTGACAAATAAGGTTTTTAAATACGTTGTCTCCTGTGCATTTTCTATTATACTTGGTCGTTATCAGCAAAAGAACGTAAAGATCAAGAAATAAATATAATGACTTTTGCCACCAAGTAGCAAAATTGACTTTAACATTTAAAGGCTTGTTAACATGTATTATCCTAAATTGAAACAGTTTTTTATTGATAGTAAGTTTTCTTTCCTTTTAATGTGAAGATTTTCCCTGATTAACAATCGTTTTTTACAGTTGTAGGGGCAGAGAACTGTTTCACTATTGATCAAAATCTGACGGAAATTTTAGGGGATGTGATTTTGTGCTAAGTGGTTTAATAGTAAGCTTTGCCTAGAGCAGTTGTTCCCAAACAGTGCAGCGGTAAATGATAGCATGTGAGGCTCAATGATTGAAAGAGAATTAAAAATTTAGAAACAGTTTCAAAAACTTCAGTATGCCAAAAATAAATCTGATTTAAAAATTAAAAACATTATTATGGATTACTTGTAATTGCATGCATGAGTCCCAGTATAAATGGTTATAAATAATTATTGACCGATTTTATCATTGTGATATTTTTACATTATATCAAATATTAAGAATATAGGAACTACGTTCGGCAAATTAGAGAAGAGAGTTATCAATGGTAATCTTCTGACTTCGAGTCTGGGGTTAACTTCCTTTAACATTCTATCGTTTTTTTATTTTATTATTAAATCTACTTTTTATCGCATAAAATTTGGTGAGGCACGAGCAAATTTCCATTCAGAAAATGCGGATAAGAGAAAAAAAAGTTTAGGAAAACACTTGTCTATCCAAATGAAACTATGTTTATGTTGTTGAGTAAATAAGGCACCTCCGGTAACATAAATGAACTAGGCAAGACGCCTTAAATAAAGAACTCAGAGTCAAGAAAAGTCCGTCGAAATCATTCGAGGATAATATCTAGTGACGTCATGGCGAGTAGTTTAAGCTAGATATATTATAACCGTTAGGAGTGAATTATAAGAGTTTAGTTGATACTGTGTATTTTAAACCTCTGAACGAGAAAATCTGATACACAGATCTGGCGATAGAATCAGCCTATAAAAGCTGGAATTGTATCTTGAATTACAATATGACAATCATGAATTTCTTAGTTGCCTTTTAAAATTTTCAGTCAAGTAGCAACGGCCTTATAAAATCAGAAAATACGAATTTATGCATTTATTAAGATTATTTGATTTTGCATCGGACAAATCAATCATGTCTGTTGATGGTGATCTGCACGTGAATTTCAGTTTATCAAGTGTTTTTGTCATTCCTTTTTGCTTGAAAACAACATAAGAGGAAATTTGTGTGTATTTACATATCTAGTCTCTCCTTCTAAACGCTTGCTTCTTGCCGTTAGCAAATTTGTCCAAATATGTAAATTTTCACGAGGAACGAGACAATTATCATTCTACTGATAATTTCTAAAAAGAGAACAAAGTCTCCCCTCAACAAAAGTTAGCTAAGCCAGCGGCAACAACAGACTCTGTAAGAGAGTATCAGCAGTATCTCTAATACTAGAATTAAAATTATATCTAAACTAATAATAGCCGTACCATCCTAGAACTTTCATATAATTATTTCTTCGATTTAATAATTATTTACATTAATTATTGTGTTTAAGATGTTGTTCCCAAGTCGAAAAGATCTGTTATAAGAAAGAAAAAAAATTACAAAATGTAGAATGGCTGGGTTTATTTAATTGGAGAGTAATTTATGACGGCAGTTGATATTTTTTCAATTAAGAATTAATTAAGAACCTGTAAAATCCCGTTAGAGATGTTCTAATTAAGTGAAAATTAGTTGTGATGGTAATGAGATTTTGCCGAGGCTGTAGTTTAAGTTTAAAAGTGGATGTTTTTTTAAATAAATGCTTGCAAATAATATTTTGTGACAAAATAATGTTGTCTTAGAAAATGTCATAAGTGTTTTAAAATATTTTTAAAAGCTTCAAACATTATTTAGAATAATTTAGTCTTATTGTTTAAAACAAAATTATATAGATAGATATGAATAGACTTGGGCACCCCGACGTGGTGTAATCGTTAGAAAGCTTGTCTTGCAAGATCAATTACGACCGAGTAGTGAGTTCGATCCTCACTAGGTGCCCCAAACTTTCGGCCTTGTGCCACATCTAAGCTGTGCTTAGAAAATCACTAGATATGAATAGACTTAGATAGAATTAAAAAAAATTACAATTAACACCATCACTTGACAAGACACCAGAAATGTTGAAACAAAATGGCTATTTTCGTAGTGGTGTTATAACATACTTATGTTATAACTTTTAAAGAAATAATATAGATATCGCTTAGTAAGATATGAATAGACGTTAATTATGAATATACTTAGATAGATATCATGATAGATTGCAAGATAGATAGATTGATAGATAGAAATATAGATAGATATGGAATGAGTGAGACATAGAGAAACAAAGAAATATATAACAGGCATAGATGGATAGATAGATAGATGGATAGATAGATAGATAGATAGATAGATGTAGATACATAGAGAGACAAAGACATTTATGAAAATAGGTAGATATAGATTGAAAGAGAATTATAGATAGAGTGGCAACAATTGCTAGATATTAACAGAATTATCTATCTATCTATCGATATATATATATATATATATATATATATATATATATATATATATATATAGATCGATCGATAGATAGATAGATGAATATGAACAGAATATATATATATATATATATATATATATATATATATATATACCACACCTGAGCTAATCTTGAAATTCACTATATATATATATATATATATATATATAGAGAGAGAGAGAGATAGAAATAGAAATAGATAGATAGATAGAGACAAAGAAATTTATGAAAATAGGTAGATATAGTTTGAAAGAGTATTATAGATAGAGTGACAACAATTGATAGATATATATATTAACAGAATTATCTATCTATCTATCTACCTACATATATATATATATATATATATATATGAACAGAATATATATATATATATATATATATATATATATATAGAATATATATATATATATATATAATATATATATAAAAATCTAACTATATATATAAAAATATATATATATATATATATATAGATAGATAGATAGATAGATAGATAGATAGATGGATCTGAATCAATTTAAATAGCTATTATGGGATTGAGAAATTTAAAAAAAAAAAACATATTTAAATAATTTTACCTTCGATTATCTATATTAATTTTCTGATTTTCTTTATTTTGTAGCAAGCAGATGATTTATGAAATATTTTACTTTGTTACAATTTGTGAATCATGATTTCATTGAAACCCGGTTTAAAATTCAAAACCACAATCGCGAAAGATATATAATTACTTTTGATTTACCCACAAGAATTCAAGCTCTCAAAGACGATGTTCATGTAACTAAAGTCGTCCATTTGACAAAGGTAATTATCAGGCAAGTCAACGTGAATTTAACCGTGAAAGCGAGTGCAGCAGAGCATTCGAATTTTTACACATTATTCTCTGTGATTCCTGAATCATCAACCCCACCACCACCACCACCACCACAACCAACAACAACAACAACAACAACAACAACAATAATAATAATAATAATAATAATAATAAATGCACTGTGCAAAACAGTTCGTCTTCTTAAGTGAATAGTATCAATATAAAGCCAATATAAACAATGTACAAATAAAGTATCATTGAATATCTTAGGCTTATGCAGAGACTGTATATATTTACTAACATCGTATAACCTAGATCTCGAGTAATGATCAAGTGAAGAATTTAAAATAATAATAATAATAATAATAATAATAGAGCTTTATCTATGTACAGTGTGTGTGATCTTAGCTTTAAAAAAGGATCAGCAGTAAATGTCATAAAGCCATTTCTGACATTAGATCTCTTGTTAGGACACGGAATCATATACAAGAGAAATCCCAGGAAATAATAATAATAATAATAATAATAATAATACATGTTCTTGCAACGACATGATAAGGTTGGCCAGTGCATTCATTGATCAATATGTCGCGCATTCAACCTCCGTCGTATGAGCCATCAGGAGTTGTACAGAATGAATTGTTTACCAGCTTCCGGAATTTGAGCATTCACACTGATAGGTGAAATCCAGGCAAATCGACCTGTTATCATTCTGAAAGATATGTTAAAAACAACTGTCTTCTGAGCGATGTTGCAGTCTCAGTCAACAAAATCATCTCTGGAAATGTTTAAGAAACTCAGTAAATATAAAAACCTCGAAAGAGAATTCAGTAGGGTGTGGCTTCTCAAGCCAATGGCATCACCTGTTGCTATTTGGATTTGGGGAATGATATCAAAGTGAAAAACAAATATGTTAAACACTTTTCAGCTAGCCCTAAAATGTAAGAATTGCCAAAGAATCATTGGTATTTCCTGCAAATTCTGCAGATTTATCCCCATGCAGGGACCATAAATACATATTTTTCTCCTTCATTGCATGAAACCTCACCGGTTCGTATTTTCGGATATAAGAAAGAATATTTCCCTCTTGAAATCTGTCGTTGAGATAATAACAATAATGGATTTACCGTCAAATTCGACGTGTGAGAGTGCAGCTGTTCAACCGAATAGCCAGACTATCTACACATTTGATTATAATGTTGAAGGTTTGTGCGGAAACAAATAAAGTTTTTAGAAGATCCAAATAAAGTGATCTGGTACACATAGTGCCTCACAAGTTCTCCAAATGAACCTCCTGAATAATAATAATAATAATATTAATAATAATAATAGTAGTGGTAGTACTAATGATGATGATGATGATAATAATAATAGTAGTAGTACTAGTACTAATGATGATAATAATAATAATAATAATAGTAGTAGTAATGAGGATGATAATAATAATAGTAGTAGTAATACTACTACTACTACTACTACTACTACTACTACTAATAATAATAATAATGTCCAGAAACCTAATAAGGTAGTGATATATAGGCACTGGAAGATATGCAAGAAACACAGAATTGAAAACACTGGGAGATGGTATGACCACCAACCAAACAATTAACCAAAATAACGATGTAACTATCCTCTGGGACATGCCAATTCAAAATGACAGGGAAATAAAAGCTAACAGATTTGATATGATCATAAAAGACAAGAAATTCAGGAAGTCTGTGCTTATTCATATAACAGTACCATCTGAGAGAATCAACTCCATAAAAATTATCGAGAAATTGTTCAAATACAAAGACCTAGAAATGGAGATTAACAGGATATGGGCAATGAAGAGTGAGAATGTAGCAACAGTAATCGGAGTTCTGGGCCACGTGAGAAAAGAATTGGAAAATTTTACTAACAATATCCCAGGTAACATCAACATACAAGTTGCCCAAAAATGGCCCTACTAGGAACATCCCATGTAATAAGTGTTATTAATTAAATGACAATACTCCTATAGGGCATAAGAACCATAATTTGGACCCGGATCTACAGGATACAAATCATGAAAGATAACACACATACTATAAAAATGATAATAAAATTCAAAGTGGAAATGCTAAACCTTTAGTAATGTTGGGTGTATAGTTACCCACAAAATATGACAGAAACTGATGGGAAACCGTTTACAGAAAAAGGCATATAAAATTAGATTTTAAGATGCACCTTGATATGGGACCTTATCCATAATAACATAATGGACTATTCCATACGTAATAAATACTGCGCCTCAAGAGGAAGCAGAGAGTTCAGTCTGAAGTCTGGAGTGAGGTCCCTCAGAAGTCCGTCAGGAGTCTGTCAGTCAGTCGAGTCAGAGGCAGTCCGAAACAGAGTCGCGTTCAGACAATTACTACTAAACCTGATTGCCGTACTAACACTTTTCTACCTCTCTGTATATATTCCTGTTTGTAGTATATCTGTGTTATTCCATATACGTGTTCGAGTTCATCTTTATTGGTTCTACCTTGGACTATAACCGTGGTACAAGGAACCGGACCATAACACACCTATTGCGGAATATAGTGGGAAATGGTTCACTGGAGGAGAAACTTTAAAGAGTGCAGTGTATTCTTCCTGCTGGAGTCAACCCTAAAATCATCCCCGAAATAGTGTGTGTGTGTGTGTGTGTGTGTGTGTGTGTGTGTGTGTGTGTGTGTGTGTGCACTATGTGTTATGGGACCTTACCCATAATAACATAATGGACTATTTCATACGTAATTAATACTGCGCCTCAAGAGGAAGCAGCGAATTCAGTCCGAAGTCGGGCGACCGGCTGATCGGCTGATAGGTTGAACTCTCTGCCTTCGGGCGGGGAGGAACCCGAACGAGGTTACACCGGAGGACGGAGTCTCTTTTGGGGAGATAAACCGACCCTGAACCCGTTTATACGAATTCAAAGGGCATTTTTTGGGGCCGAGCCCACGGGCTCGGAGATCCCACGTTAAGCCGGCCTTGTGCCACATGATGCGCTCGTTGGGGGCTGACTAAATACCGTTCAGTCTGAAGTCTGGAGTGAGGTCCGTCAGAAGTCCGTCAGTCAGTCAGAGCTTGTCAGTCAGTCGAGTCAACAGTCGAGTCAGAGGCAGTCCGAAACAGAGTCGCGTTCAGACAATTACTGCAAGACATTGGGATAGTGATACTGGTCGAGACTACATTGTTCTCCCTACTAAATCTGATTGTTCGTACTAACACTTTCTACTTCTCTGTATATATTCCTGTTTATAATATATCTGTGTTATTCCATATCCGTATTTGAGTTCTTCTTCGTTGGTTCTACCTTGGACCATCACCGTGGTACAAAGAACCGGACCATAAAACTATGTATGTAATTCTGCGGTGCAGTTTAATCACTTCTCATTTAAGTTTAAAGATAAGAAAACATTTAAAAAAAAAACACATTACCGCATTAGGAAAAACCTACACATTTCAGAAAAAGAATTGTTCTTCTGAAAGTCGTTATATTTTGACAGATGTGGATTTGGGGTGAAAACAAACCATGAACTAATTGTGAAGAGAGGACCTTCGTTCACCAAACATCATATCAGGCCACAGATGATGTAGTGACAATACTATATCTGAAACTTCTTGAAACTTCATGGGAAACAGTAATAATGAATCATGAATTTCAGCAAACTCCCCAGAAGAAAAATAGGAAAGGACCCAGAAAATACATATATAGCGTAGCTGTTAATGTAAAGATAGATACTTGGAGACGGGCAGGCAAACTAAAATCCTACATCATGGAGACGCGCATGACAGCTTTAAATCCTACATCATACCACAGGGCACAAAGACTTATCGTCACGGCCTCCTTAAAGACAGGGAGACTTGAAAGGGGAAAGAAATTACTCAGGTATCTCATGAATGATGATTCCGCTGGTAAAACGTTATCTTCCAAGAAAATCTTCATATTGGACGCTGTTTGACACAGCCATAAAGACAAGAATCAACAGTTGATGTCAACAGATAGTTTGTAACCAAACATCTCGGCAAGGTTTTGTATGTTCTATCTTTCGAATTTATGCGCCCAGCCATTCTTTTAAACATTTGAAACAAAGCTGTATATTGGTGCCTATTACAACGTCGTTCTCAATATCATGATTTGTCTTCGGTAAAGGTTAGACAACTGACGGGCACAAGACAGTGCTACAAGTTAAACAGTTATGAAAATGAAAAAAATTATGCCAGGTCGATTTTGCATCAACGCCTATCCTACGCCATAAATGGCAGCCAAGAAGACTTACCAACAAATGATCGGTATCTTCCAGGAAATCATCAAGGAAAAGTGGACAAAGATATGTAAAGACTACGTGGATGAATGTTGATGATCGTTTGGAGTTGGTGTGAACCCAGCTAAGAAAATCTTATTGTTGCAACATTGCATCACAATCACGAGTCCCGTAACCCATTTTCATCCTACCAAATGTACAGGAGCAGTGACGTTTCCTGGGCAAGGTAGCCTGACGGTTTCCAACACCTTCCAGGCTGATTTTAAATTCATAGTTTTCCTTCTCTTAAACCGGTTGCCAACCAAGTCTATATGACCCAGTCTGATCTGCTATTTAATCATAGCTGAAGAGAGAAGAGATTAATTCATACCTTTCACAACGGTATTAGCACGTAAGTGAAATACAATGAACTTCACTCGAATTCGAATGTGGCTCTCCGTTCCCCCCACTAACAATAAGAAAATGTAAAATAAGTCATAAAACTATATTAGAACGGACATCGTCCGATTAAAATTAAAGATTTTCAATTTTAAACAAATTACGAAAACAAACTTTATAACTTAAAAAAAAAACTGTGTGTAACAGCAAAATTGTCCAATTGTTAGATTAAGCTTTCAACCCTTGTATCTTAGAAATGATTAAAGATATGTTACTGGAATTCTCCGAGGTTACGATAACACTAAGAATGTATTTAGCTCTAACCTGAAATGATCATTCCTCTTAGTGTGACAACCTGATCCAGTTTTCCTTTCTAATGTTCCCTCTATTTTAAACTTATTCACTGTTCTCTTGATGGTTCTTGAAAGAATATACATTTTCTGAGCCCTATCTGTGATATCAGGCGTCACACACACACACACACACACACACATATATATATATATATATGTATTTATTAGAACAAGAGAGAAATATATATATATATATATATATATGTGTGTGTGTGTGTGTGCGTGTGTGTGTACTGATTCATGTGCAAGCTAGCGGGTACCGGCACGCTGACGCGCATGCACGATACACAGAAATGGAAATAGATTTGACAGTCTCAGGGGCTATGTGTGAATAGGGAGCCGCTTTCATCAAGACATCTGTCATCGCCGCTGCTAACATCAAACCTGATGATTTTGTTACCACTTAGGCAGAAAGTCACTTTTGCCAACAGTTGAAAAATTAAACCAAGGCTGACTACAAATGCAGAACATGAACAATGAATTATTAAAAGAACATAAGGAAATTTTATTCCTTTAAAATGGATTCCTTTAATTTGCCTCAAGAAGGTTACGAGACCGGAAACCCGTGTAGCAAAACATGAAAAACATATCCACATTGTAGCCAAAAACATTTGCATTTTCTCTTTTGTACACACATACACACACACACACACACGCGCGCACGCAAAACACACACACACATATATATATATATATATGTGTGTAACTTCGATTTAAGCCGGTGTATATATATATATATATATATATATATATATATATATATATATATATATATATATATCACGGCTTCAATCGAAATTACAGTTAAAAAACAACCATAATTGCTGTTTTCAATTTCTTCATTGAAAACACTTAATGAGTAAAATTTGCCGTGAATGTAAGTTTTGCACTATTCTTGTTATGAACAATACCAGTAATATCACGCATTACATAAAGCAACGATTGTGGCAAAAATGAATTCCTTCGAGTATGAGGCAAGGCAAACTGTCTTACGGAATCAAGAATTAATTATAGAATGGCATATTTTCCATGGTCACTTACACGTTTCTTATGCCATATGTGGAAAACGGCAAAAATGCATGCTTTTGTACTCTGACAGAATATCAAATGATATTTTATACTCACGAGCGCTGAAATAAGCAATAGGAGATGTTATTTATTATAAAAAAGAAAATGGATCATTTGAACGTCAATGAAATGAAAGATAGCTATTTTTACAGAAAAGTAATTCTGCGGAAAATTGGAAAAATTCCACAATGACATTGAATATGATCTTGGTTGAAAGAAAGAATTCTGATACATTATGTAAATTATTAAAGTTTTCAGTGTTCAGAATAGCTTTTAAATCAAGGTGTAATATTCGCGTATTTTTCGTGAGTTGTGAATGTTTACAAAAGTATAATACAATTATTTTCTTAATTGATTTTAAACTACAATTCTGATAGATTTAATATTCTCAGACGAACTGATACATACAAATAGGAATTTGTGCGTGTGGGTGGTTGCGTATACTTTTGTGTGTGTATTTGCGTGCATATGTGTATGTATCCGTTCGTCCTGGAGAGTTAAGTCTATCACAATTGTATTAGTCACACCTAGAAAAAGATTAACGTTTGTCATAAGTCTAATGTGTCATGACAGGAGTGTCTTTTCCTTCTCATTCACCGTTATAAAACAGGAACGAGACTCTTGTAGTTGTGATCTTAAAAAATTACTATATATTGTAATTAGATTAGGCAGGTGATGCTCGTTGTTACAGTGTCAGTTTTTTCTATATTGGTCAAGCTTGTAAAACCATTAGCATCTGGCTATGAGCCTAATGTACAAGGAAATGAATGTATCTTCCTTGTCATTCAGCACGGTTAAAAAAAAGGAAAAGCTCTTGGGTTGGTAAATGGACGGAGTTTTGTATAAACATCAAAGGTATATATATATATATATATATATATATATATATATATATATATATACCCATACAAATGAGTTTCTTAAAAAAACGACAAATTTTGTCTAATTAATCCTTAATGTATTTTTTCAAATTATGTATTGTGATCAAAATTGTTCGACGTTCCGATTGTTTTATTCAAGTACATTCTAAAATCTCACCCATTTTACTACACAAAAAGATAAATATATATATATATATATATATATATATATATATATATATATATATATATATATATATACAATTTAGACCTAGCAAGGTTATCTAAGGAGAAGAAGGCTGCTGCCGGAAGGGAAATATACTTGTACTTCATTTTGCATATTTTTGCTACACGCGTTTCCGGTCTCGTGAAATTCATCAGGTAAAGAATTGTTAATTCTACATATTATTAAAAGGAATTAATGTTCCTCATGTTATCCGATCTTCAGTCATTGTGTTTTGTCTGTAGTAGTAGTAGTTTGAATTGTCTAAGTACAAGAAAAATTTGGATTACTACTACACACAAAAGAGAATGGTTAAACATGCGGAAATTTAATCCCTTTTAATACGTGGAAATAAAAATCCACATTATGATCAACAAAAAAATCTACATTATAACATACAACCTTTGTGGCCTCTCTCTTCTTTTTAAAGTATACAATTTTCTCTTGTTGAAACAAATATAACCTCTCCCTTATATATATAAGATAGATAAATTCGAAAGATAGAACATACAAAACCTTGCCGAGATGTTTGGTTACAAAGAAAACAAAACAAAGTTTACACTTGCTCCTGAGATTCAGTTAACTCTTACATTTTAGGTTAAAATTCTATCAACAGAATGAAAGATTTTATTCGGAGATTATGATAACATAACCAGATAAATAAAACTAGTTTAAATTAAAAAGCAGTGGAATAAAATTCCGCCATTACTCGCAAAATACTTACATCGTATGAGACTATATAATCATCTGTTTTTTTTTTTGTTTTTTTTGGGGGAAACAACCTGTGCTGCCGAGAAAAACTATTTCAACGATGGCGATGTATTAAGATTAGTGCTCACTCAAAAGTTTATTAGATTATTTCGTTCATCATCAGGCAAAGTAGAAGAAAATAGAAAAAATATAATAATTAAAAAAAAATATCAAAGTCTACATAACATTTACATCTTACTGTTGCTGTACCAATAATGAAACAGGAGTAAAACAAATATGAAAGTGATGTTAATAATTTATAGGTATTATCAAACTTTTGACATACGCCTATATTTCCTGATTCCTTTGGCTGGTAAATAAAATAAAAGAGACTGCCTACCTGATATTCCTTCGTATCGCCACCATGCGGACCATGCCGAAGAAGGAGAGCCAACTGAAAAAGATGAATAAATAAGACCAAGTAATTAAATGGTTCCTTCAAGTTTTATTAAGTGGCTGGTAATTGAAAAGCGAAGCTGTTTGAAAAGGAAGCATGGAAAAAGCAGAGAACAAAGGGACAAAAACTATGATGGCGTGTGAGAGGAAATGAATCCGTAAAACAGACGAGGATGGAATAATAGAATCAGAGAAAAACGTTACAAGATTGAGAAAGGAAAGGAGACAAAACATAACGATAATTGGTAAGTAACACAATGCAAGGTAAAATGTTGAAGACGATGGGATAGATATATAGATAGGTGTCGAGATAGAAATGGACAGCCTGAAATAGAGAGAAAGACAAATATGGTCAAAATTATATATATATATATATATATATATATATATATATATACAGAGAGAGAGAGAGTGACAGACAGAAAGATAGATAGATGTCGAGATAGCAATGGGTAGCCTAAAATAGAGAGGAAGGCAAAATATGGTCAAATTTATATATATATATATATATATATATATATATATATATATATACATATATACATATATATATATATATATATATATATATATATATAGATAGATAGATAGATAGATAGATAGATAGATAGATAGATAGATAATGTCGAGAGAGAGCAATGGGCAGCCTAAAATAGATAGTAAAAGGCAAATATGTTCAATATTAGATAGATAGATAGGTAGATAGATAGACAGATAGAAAGATAGACAGATGTCGAGATAGCAATGGGCAGCCTAAAATAGAGAGGAAGGCAAATATGGTCAAATTTATATATATATATATATATATATATATATATATATATATATATAAATAAATAAATATATACATACACACACACACACACACACACACACATATATATATATATATATATATATATAGATAGATAGATAGATAGATAGATAGATAGATAGATAGATAGATAGATAATGTCGAGAGAGAGCAATGGGTAGCCTAAAATAGATAGTAAGGCAAATATTTTCAATATTAGATAGATAGATAGATAGATAGATAGATAGATAGATAGATAGATAGATAGATAGATAGATAGATAAATTCAGACATATATGGAGAGAATGTTATAGAAAGATATTATCCTGACACGTTCTCTCACACACAGACATACAAACATACACACACAAACACTCTCTCAAACACATGAACATACACTCACTATCACACAGACACTCACAAACATTCAAATGCACACATACACAAACACACACAAATGCACACATATACACGCACATACATAATTGCAACAGGATGTTTAATACATCGTAGCTATGTTAAAAACATTCCAAAGTTTTTATACATCATGCGATGACACTCATCTCAAAAACAGATTGTGTCTTTGTGCCAATCGCTGACATATGTGCACTAATATCTCGGCTCACATTCGGAGAGGAATTCATTCCTGCGTAATGTATCTTTGGAAAGGCAGCTTAGCAGAGACCATGTACCTTTTCTTCCTCTATATGACGCGCTCTTTTCAGGACATATTAGGCAGTTTTTTTGTATTGTTTTTTTTTAAGCGTTTCACCCCAAGCAAAGCCAGAAGCCACTAGGATGCAAGGGGTTACAGAAGATCAGGTAGGAGTGATAGAAGAAAGGATGAGGAGAAGGGTAGTGGATAGATCAAGGCAACTGAAGATGTCGATTGACATTACATTTGAATAGCTGGCGATTATAGCTCTCAGGGTAACTGGAATAGGGATGTGAGTTCCACAGGCGAGAGGTGCGAGACATGAAGCTATTGGAGTAGAAGAGACGGCTATATTTAGGAGTTTCGACAGTGAAAGGTTGAGAGCGGGATGCCAGCCTCGTAGGGCGCTTGAATTCATGAAGTCTGGGAACCAGCGAATGGAGCTCCTCGGAGAAATTGCCATGAAAGTATTTGTAAAACTGACAGAGAGAGGCGACGGTGCGTCTGTGAGAAAGTGACTGTAGACGAGATGCCAGAGCAGGTCGAATTATATTGCATATCTGCCTCTGGAGCCTATCAAGAACCCCGAGGCGAACAGAAGGGACTCCAGACCATATATGGCAGCAATACTCCATGCAAGGGCGAATTGTTGATTTTTAGATCTGGAGGGTCGATTCCGGGGAGAAAAAATTCCTGGCGCGGCACAAGGTTTTTTTCTATCATTGCTCATCATCATCATCATCATCATCCTTCGGCCTCCCTGCGGTTGATTGGAACACCATTAACAATACTTTTCCAAACAGCTCGGTGCTGCATTGCCGTCTCCAGATCCCTAATGCCCAACCCTGAGTCGCGAGCCATGGTGTCTAGGAAAGTGAACTTTAGCGAGAAGACACCTCCAGATAAGATGCCATAGATATAAGCATGAGACGACTTCCCCGTTCACTTGGTGGAAGTGGACGGCAAACTGCAGTCGCTTTTGTTTGAGCTTAAGAGAGACTGCTCCCAGTTCTTCGTAAATTGTATTAAGCGTTGCATGTGATCTCCAATTGATGTTCAGGATTTTTCTAAGCAGATTGTTCTATCCAGTCGTCTTCCAAGACGAACAGATAATATCCAAGTTTGTGATCCATAAAGAAGAATTGGTTCAATCAGTGTTCGAAAGGTTTGGACTTTTAAATCGGATGGAAAGTTCGAGCGCTAAATTTTGTGAAGTTTGTTACACACATCCGATTCAAGAACTCTGCGGATACTGAAATCTTTTGGAGAATCTATTATGTGATATCTAAGATATTTGAAGTCCTCAGCACTTTTCATGGATGCATTATTGACTGACTTCAACTCGAAGGGTTCAGGGAAGTTTGTGATATATTCTGTCTTACTCATACTGCAATAGAGACCTACATAGTACGCTGCTTTCTAGATTGATTGCAGCAAGAAATCCTTGACACTTTGAGAAATTAATGCAAGATCATCGGTAAATTCAAGATCATTCAGGTAATGTGGATGGTACCGACTACTCTGGTGAGGTTTCAAAAGGAGTACTTTTTCCACCATGTTGTCTAGAGAAATAGACAGAACATAGTCCAGAACAACTACAAACAGAAAATCGCCTTGTAAAACTTCTGCTTTAACTTCAAAGGAATCAGTTTCGCCATCAGGCGATACAATGTTGTTAGGGGTTTTTTTCTATACTGAGATCAAATTGCCTCAACAATTCCGGTGGCGGGGACATAAGATAGAGTTGAAGGATTTTGAACATGAGATATTTTTTGATAGAATCAAACGTCTTGCTAAAGTCAAGAAAACAGATTGTGAGATCCTTGTTTTTTTTTTAATCTCTTCCAGTATGCGGCGAAAAAAGAGAATTTGAGCAGTTGTCGATCTGTCTCTTCTTCATGAACCATTTACACAAGCTCGTCAGGTTAGCGATTTCGCGCATTTCACTTGCCCTCAGTTCAACCCGGGACGTGTATGTTCTCCAAGTCCTTCTTCAGTAATATCTATCCAAGTAATTTCAGCTGTATTAGTCCATGATTTATAATTCACCGAGACCTGGTCACTCAATTGACACCAAGGAAGAATGAATTTTGACAAAGCAGAGCGCTACCATTATCTCGCAATATATATATATATATATATATATATATATATAAATATATATATATATGTGTGTGTGTGTGTGTGTGGATGGATGGGTGTGTGTGTGTGTGTGTATGGGTGTATGTGTGCGAGCATGGAGGAGTGTGTGGGTAACAGAATCTTTTAAATTGAAATCTTTTTTTTTTTTTTTACCTCATGGGGTTTTTTCAAGATATGCTATATTAAATAATATTTTCGGATGGCATCGCTGTATCTGATATTTCCAGCTAGCCATGGGAATTGTGAAGTAAGGCGAAAGATAAAATGTTTAATAATCTGTCCAAATTCAATAAATTTTAAGCCCTGTTGCCCCTTCATATATATATATATATATATATATATATATATATATATATATATATATATATATATATATATATGTTAAGTTCTAGGGAGAGGTGTATATTGAAACATGAAAATGATTATCCAAGTATACATGTATAAATTATATTGATAGATAAAATATGATTCTATTCCCATAGTTAATTAGCGCTGATAAACTTTATGGGTAACTTTTTACAACCCCACATGATTGGTCTCTTTTATAAAACACCCCCTCCTCAGTCTTGATATATTTCTACATAACATAGCGTTAAATATATACAACACAATTATGTATGCGAATTTATTTCTCATTCATTTACAATATATTTGGGACAAAAATGACGAGAGTGGATGTAGATTCAATAATATGTAATGAAGTAAATAAATGCAGCCATCCTATTTCCTGTAGATATGAGCGCATGGCCGGGTGGTTAGAACGTTTTGACCATGAGACCCGGTGTTCAAATCTCACCATGGTCGATTTTCAGGAAGGGGGACTTCCTGATGTTATCAGATTGTTAGCGTGCGGCACCTTTGGAAAGTGAATTAAAACCATACCACGAGTTTACCCAAGCCTTGGGAGTGAAATTGCGTAGTCGGAACTCTTGGGGGCTGTCAATAGCTGTGCTAGCGCGACGCCACAAGTCGTCCTGGCTGAGGGCTTGAGCGTGCTGGCCTTGTTCAAATTGTTGATCACGCTAGATAAAGCTATCTCTTCCAGAAACATTTTCTGTTGCAGTAGAAACAACAGGTTGGCTCAGTGGGTGTTGAACAAACACAAAGTAGCTTTAGTAGCCGGCTATCCTAGAATACGAGTGGCTAGATATTATTATTTCCTGGAGATATTCAGTTTTGCTTATACGTCAACCGTGTCATTGTCTAATACAACAAGGATGTATATATGTATTTATCAAGGAAGCGTTAGTTGTATATCTAACAGCTTTTTTTCTAACGAATGTTATTTTACGACGTAGATGATGATGGACTACAGACAGATTCCTTGATTTGTTTTCCGGTTGCTTTCGCTAGGATTTTTGTATTCTTTCGAACATAGGATCGAGAGTCCAGACCTTCGAGCTATTTAACCCGTCGCTTCTGAGGGGAGAATAGATGAAGCCTGTCTTTCCCAATAGATACTTGTGCGAAAGGAAAATAGACATTCTGATCTCTCTTTGACATCATTATCCACATCATTAATAACAGCAACCACAACAACATCGACTCAGCTATCTGCTCTTCGGGTTCTCACAGAAAGAAAACTCTGAAATCCCACAGAGGAGGCAACGATTTCTTTTCATGTCGATTCATAGATAATAATGAAAACTTATCTATAGCGATCCTTATCAACTGGGTCCTGAAGGGCCTTGGCGTTTCATAAGACCTAAAATAGCCATGGCTTTCATTTAAGAGAGTGGGTTGCTCTACTGCAGACGCTGTAACATTCTTATACCATTTTATATAATACGGGAAGAATATTCACAGTCTATAAACCGGCATCAAATTTTAGCTAATCAAATAATTGAAATATTAGAATTTTGTTAATTTGAATCTGGTAAAAAAGAGTGAACAGCATCACAAGATATTTAAACCATTTTTTTTTATCACAGGTAACTGAACATGACGTTTGATTTAACGAAAGTGTCTTGTGCGAAGACGAATATTTTAATAATTAACGCGGCTAATTCGAGAAACCCTAGAAAAGCATGGATGTTATTCAAATGACGAAAGTCATATCTAATTAGGAGTTCCATAATACCTACTGTAAGAGAACACAATGAAATGCTGGAATGTTATGACAATTGACTATCAAATTTCAACCCGAAATTTAAGTAATATCGTCTTTCACTCTCACGAGAAAGATGCAAAAAAGTAGACTGTAATTAGAAATATTAAATTATATCGGGATATATGTATTAGGTTGTTCGGAAAATGATATCCGACTTTAGAATAAACCTTTTTGTGATGTAATATATTATTATAATAATTACACAAAAATATATTACTCATTCCTCATGATCAAAGCGTCCTCGTTGTTAATTTTAAATCAATCTCCTTCAGAATTTAATCGAAAACATCGTAAACACCTGATTTTGAACAACAAACGAAAAGAAATACGTTACGTTTTTTTTGCATGACTTCAAGCTTTGCTATAATACAGCTGAAAATGCTATTATTTATTAACAGAGTACGGTGGAAACGATCCATTTGTGATAGGACGCTACGGCGTTGGTTTCTAGAGTTGCTCAGTGGGGATACGAGTCTTGGAGATCAAGACGGTAGATCCCGCACGATTGCAACTGAGAATCAACATCTAGCTCACGTCAAAGTGTCAGAGAAATGTCTTAGACAATGCCTATCAGCATTTCAACATTATCTGATCATTCTCAAGATAATTGGGAAAGTGAAAAAAACTCGATAAATTGGTTCTACATGAACTCAGTTAAAATGAAAGAGATGAAATGTGTTGGATGCTGCATCTGGGAAATTCGAATAATCCATTCCTTGATTGAAAAGTGATTTCTGATGTGAAATGGATCGGTTAGGACAACCGCAATTGACTCAATGGTTTGAACATAAATTAACCAAATACTTTTCAAAAGAAATCGCCTGAAGATACCAAAAGGTTGAAACCAGTGTAGAGAAATCAGTTGCTTCAAGAACACCAGAAAGTTGTAACATGAGGGGAGTGGAAAAATCAGTCGTAGCTGAGAACATATGAAGGGAAAAGGGAGATCACCGCCCACTGTGGGATCAGGTTGAGATCATGGACAAAGAACACCAGTGGAAAATTCGTAAACTTAAGTAATCAGCACATATGCTAGGCCACAAAAGTCTCCTGAGCCGACCAAGCATAGAAATGAATACAATATTGGAACCAGTAATAAGGAGTGCCAGAGAAAAGTGATAATAACTAAAAAATTGCAATATGTGCTCTGGTAAAAAAAACATTATATGATAACAGCAAAAATTTCAATATGAGCATTGTTAAAAAAAGTTGCTGAAGACATTAGGTTTATAATACCCAGAAATTCATACACAGATGTCCACAAGGACACATGGCACAGTGGATAAAGGCGTTGGTTAGATCCAGTGACAGGAGAGGGGAATTAACAGGAGATAAATGATAAGTGATAACTGACACCCATTAAACATGGCACGTAGAACTAGAACAATCTACTACAACGAGCGAGATAAAAGGAATCAGTTTGACATTCCAACCACCTGAAGAAGGCTGGAGCGTACAACAGCCGAAACGTTGTAATAAATATGGCGACAAAGATGAGGACAATAGTCCGAATAATGTAAATAGAATACACAATTATATATATATATATATATATATATATATATATATATATATATATATATATAATGAACAACAGACACTTTACCATTACAATAATTTATTTCACCAAAATCCTTTTAAAGGATTTTTGGTTCATCAAATAACACTTCCAACAATGAAAATCTCATTGTTGGAATTGTTATTTGATGATCCAAAAACTTTAAAAGGATTTTGGTGAAATAAATTATTGTAATGGTACCTTAAAGTGGTCTGTTGTTCATTAAATATTAGCTCTGTTCTTCACATTGAGCTCTCAGGATGTCATCCTCCTTGGAATTACCAATTCGGTTTACTAAATTCTTCATAACTTATATATATATATATATATATATATATATATATATATATATATATATATATATTATACAGAACAAAAGACTAATTTTGTTTAAATAGGTTATATCTCTGTAATAATAATAATAACAATAAAAGCTTATTATTATTATTATTATTATTATTATTATTATTATTGTTACTTGACACACCTCACTACTAGCTGCAACGTATGAAATGTGAAATCGTCAACTGTGTTGATTGGATCGGACGGATTTTACGAAAGATACACCGACTGCAGATTGATCTATAACCGATTTGGATATTTCGATCGTGTTCGGTGTTCTTGGATAACAGATTGAACTTAAATAGGAAATTCGATTTCGTCTGATCCATATTTACCCGAACAGCGGATCAAACATAAGAAAATGAAAGAGCTTAAATCGAAATCGACGCGCTTTCTCTGGGACAATCGATGCAACAGTCGTAAAATTATGACAGTGGGTTTAAGACTCATTGAATATTCTAAAGATATGGACTTGTGTCGGATTTGGAATAATCAGAGCAATTGAAAACGTTGAAGATTGTCTTTGTTCGACGCTGATATAAAAGCAACACAAAGAAACAAAAACTTTAGATCTGTCATTATGCCATATAACATTTCCAGTATATTTTATATACTTTTAGATTTATCTATATGCGTGAGGCTGAGAATGTGATGACTTATTTATTGTCATTATTCATAAACGTTGAACCGACATTTTACGTCTGTGCATCCAGCTCAAAGTTAAAGAATGGTTAGCTTAACGTGGTTCCCCAGATTAAAAATGGAAGTTGATTCCTGTCGGGAGGAACATTCTCCTTAGTAGGATTTTAGATCTCTCGATTGTTTGTTATTTGATTGCTGCAAAAACAAAGCTATATCCTCAAATACGTTTAGCGATGAAATATAACATTTAGAGTAATAAGAAATGATGCTCTATTACGAATTCCTTAATTAATTCAAAATAAAATATACGTGCGTGTGTGTGTCAGCTATTTGCATGCCTGTATGCGATTTAAATACTGATACCATGTAAACGATACCCGGATAAATATTTATAAGATTTTTATACCTATCTCTCTTACGTGCTGATACACTTGGGAAAGGAATTAATCCTCTTCTTCTGCCTGGAGCTATGGATAAATAGCAGGACACACTGAGTTCTATAGCCGTGCATGACAACTCTAAATTCAAAATCAGCGGAGGGTTGTTTGGGGACCTTGTGGCACGTGGTACACCAGGTCTCTGTATTTGGCCCTTCAAAAAATGTTGGTCCTGCACAAAGGCTTGCTGGTGTCTGGACTGTCGGTCCCTAGGAACAGAGTTGCTTGACCCGCATACGTTGAATACAACGAGAGAGTTCTATGTATATATATATATATATATATATATATATATATATATATATATATATATATATATATATATATATAGGCAGCAATTTTCATTAATGCATGTTTCATTAAATAATATAGACAAGTTTGGTCTATTTAT